GAAAATGTCAAAAGCGAGCAAAAGACAGCTAATTGAACACACCGTGTTCAAGTACGAGTTTTCGAGTACCTTCTGAAGAAGGGATGCGTGGCGAGCCTAGTGGCCTTTCCCGCAGGATTAAAATTGGGTTCCATTGATTCTGAAAGAAAGACAAGTCAAGGGAGCACACAACGCAGGCATTGGAATCTTTTTATTATTATTATTATTATTATTAAAGATAATTACACTAAAAGTTCTAAAACTTATCGTGAAAGTACAATTGAGTTCTAAAACTTTCAAAAAGTGCAATACAATGTTAAAATTTGTTGTGAAAGTGCAATCGAGTCCTAAAACTTTCAAAAAGTATAATCGAGTCCTAAAACTTATCATGAAAAAAAATCATGATCTAAAACTTTCAAATAGTATAATCAACGGAATGACTTTATTGGACCAATTTGACAAGTTTTAAGACTTAATTGTACTTTTTAAAAATTTTAGGACTAAATTGTACTTTATTGATAAGTTTTAGGACTTAATTGGGGATGAGGACACTAGTAGCACTCAAGTGATCTTTTTTTGCCGGAAGTGGCACTTAAGTGAGCGAAAAAAAAGTTAGGGCACTCAAGTGAGCGCCGTACGAAAGTTATTGCACTTTTAGTGTCCTTTTTCCCACTTAATTGCATTTTTTAAAATTTTTAGGATTTAATTACACATTTGTGACAAGTTTTAGGACTTCCAATGCACTTATCTCTTATTATCAAAGTCTTGGAGATGGAACCTTTTGACGCGCTCAATTCCAGGAGAGCATGACGATGGTGATTTCGGGAGGCATTTCTTCCCGTGCAAATGTTTCTGTCGTTCGTTCGTTCGTTCCATCCAAGTCCAAAACATCTGAGGCCCACACACCACTTGTAGTGGTGGTGGTGGTGGGGCTGGTGGTCGCTCTAAGACGATGGTGGTGGACGAGAATAACAAGCAAAAGTGGCGCCCAACCGGCCGTCCTTATCGCTGATCCTTTTTGAAGAAAGTTGGCCTCTGCTCACTTCGAAAACATGCTGAAGAGAACATAGACAAAAAAACAAGAAGCTAAAAACTTTCCTTTTCTCATACCACACCGGGGTCTCAATATGTGTCATTTCGTCCCAAAGTCCTAGACCCAAATCCACTATAAGCATGCCTTGTGATATTAGCAACTTCGGCCTCAGGACCAAGAGAGGAATCATATTAGATCACCCTCGATGGGAAATTCTCCAAGCCAGTAGTGACCCCATCATGAGAAAGTCTTGTCACCATATCATATATATCACCATTTAGATACATATTACGCGGTTTTTTATGCTCAAACAAATCACATTGAGATCTTTTATTTGTTCGGTACAAGTTGCTCTCGATACTATTATGACTCGCCATATCTCATGAGCCTCACGATTCGCAAATATTTTCACAAAACCATTCACTTGACATAATCCTCCTCTCTATTGACTAGTTTGAAGGGCAATATTGAAGTAACATACCCAATACCAGAACCAGGACAAAATTATAGTGTGGAATATTTTACGAATCAACATGAAGATAACACATCAATTAAAGTAATCTCGAGCTGAGCAATTAAAAACTTTTCCTTAACGTAGATTGAATAGTTCCTTTGAAATGTCCAACTTGTGTAGATAAAGAAAGCGTGGTTCAAATTCAATAGTTCCCTGGTAAATTGGACAAAAAACATTGTGATCCTCTGAATTAATTGACTCTACTTTTCTTTTCCCATAATTTTTTTTATCTCATCTCACATGCGTAATCAAACCTACAATCATATATTAATTTGAAATGGATACATTGAGTTAGTTTTCCTTTAATTTGAAATGGATACATTGAGTTAGTTTTCCTCGTCGCTAAATCAAGAGGAATTGGACTTTAACCGGCTCAATGAACTTGGTTAATTACAATGAGGCTACACAAATAAATCGAGTTTTTTTCTTTTAGTATTCTTCACTGGCCATCGGAGGACTTCACCTTCACCACCATGCCTTAGAAGGAAGTATCCCGCGTTATCAGTCGGGGCAAATTTCGAATGATAATGCAGGCATCACAATCAGTAAAGGCGATGCTGGCGATGGTGAAGGTGATGGTGATGGGAATATATACGACATCGTTCCATTGATCGAATTAAAAATGAATGTCCAGTTAATTGTGGGTGAATGCGTGTTTTGGTTAATTGGGTCTAATCGAACGAGTCTAAAGATCTTTTCTCATAAACACAATAAAGAAATTCGGCTGTGAATACAGCTAGCTCTTGTCTTAATACACCAAGGATGCTTCCGCGCTGACGCGAATGGGATTATTAGGTCGTCTTGTTTTTACTCGAAGAGTCTTTTTCAAAGGCCTATGCAAGAACAGGACAGGACATCGAAAAAGAAGCCAATAATTTCTTATTTTTTTCCAAAGAAGAAGACAGGAAAAAAAGGGAAGCCTGCAATATAATATCATGCAAAAAAGAATAATCAGTCTAGAGAGAGAAAAAATTTTGGGCAGAGAGAAAGAGAGAGATAAAAATGAAGAAAGTATTCTTCCCTCTAGCTAATGGCGACAACATGAGCTCGCGCCAGCTTTCAATGATTTAACCTCGTTTCGCCACAAATTCAATTGTTGTGAATTAGCAATTGAATTAATATCACAAAAAATCTCAAATTGATACATAAATAAAATCTCAAACTGATATATCGGTGATAAATTTACCCTATGTTAGCTTCAGTTAAATTTTACCGTTAAATTACCGAGTTAAATAACACGTGACAGTTGACGGATGTACCAATTTAGGGTTTTACCCTCCACTTATCACATGTAGACCGATTTGTGAGTTTTCGTGATATTAATCAAATTTAATGAAAACTAAAGGAGGGTAAATTTATCACAAATATACTAATTTTGGGTTTTTGTTGATCAAAAAAATAGTTTGAGATAAATTTATCATAGATGTACCAGCTTGGGGTTTTTAGTGGTCAAAAAATTAATTTGAAGTAAATTTATCACAGATGTACCGATTTGAGATTTTTCGTAGTATTAAACCTTAGCAATTTCTTAGAGCAACCCCCTTTTATTATGCATGGAGCCTACAAGAGCAACCGAACATTAAAAGGACTTTCAGGCCCCTGATATGAAGTTTGTATCAAATCCGGTAGTTATGATGTTTGCTTGAATGTTAATTATATTAGGTTGATAGTTGTCTCAATTCCCTTCTATTTCATAAGACATGCTCAAAGATGAGAGTTCATTGTCTGTTTATTGTGGGAGATTAAAAGAGATATCGGTATATGAAAAATGAAACAAATTTCATAGTGACAATCATGACTTATATACTCTGGAGGCAAAAAGTTGGGTAGATCTCGACCTACTCAGCTCTAAATAGGCTCTCCATTGACATTAATTATGCCATACGTTAATCTACCTGCGATCGTGAAATAAACCTGAAAAAATAAACATTTATCTTTTTTTTCTCTCTATCTCTCTCATTTGCTACCAAAATAGAAGAGCTCGCCCACCGTCCTCGTGGCCAAAGGCCACCTCACGGTCGCCACCATTAACAACAATCTCCACTTTCGCTTGTGTGGAGGTGTTGTTGTAATTGTCAACGAGGGTCCTTGATGCCAAGGCGTTGTCTCCAAATTCGGAAGCCTCAAGAAAAGTGTCAGAAAAGTTCTTACCCTATTGCATTGGTGTCAATCTAGTTCTGAACCTTTTAATTGTGCTAATTTAGTCCTAAACTTTTTGACGCACTACCAATTTAGTCATTCCGTCAAATTTTGGCTAGATATTGCTGACGTGGACGCCAACCGGCCTACGTGGCACGGCCGGTGCTGACGTGAACATTTTTTAATTGTATTTTAGTAATTTTCGAATTTTTTTCTTTTTTTTCTTTTTTTCCTTACTCTTATTCCTCCTCTTTCCTCGGGTGGTCGGCAAGGGCTGGCCTCACTTGAGCGAGGGTGGCCCTTGCTGCCACAGGTGACAGTTGGCCTTGCCGGGCGTCGCTTGGGCTATGGTTGGCCTCGCCCTAGCGCAGGCGATGCCTGGGCTCGCTAGATTTGGTGAGGGTGGCTTCGTTGGAGCTCTCCCTCGCCCCAAGGAGGTGACCATTGCCCGTGGCAGCGAGGATCACTTTCACTCAGGCGAGGCCAACTCTCGCTAGCCACCAAAGGAAAGAGGAGGAAAAAAAAGAAAAAAATTGAAAATTATTAAAATATTATTAAAAATGTTCCTATTAGTGCCAGTCGTTCCACATAGGCCGCTCAGCGTCCACATAAGTAATATCTGGTTAAAATTAGCTAGAAGGACTGAATTGGCTATAAATCAAAAGGTTTATGATTAAATTATCATCATAAAAAAATTTAACATCAAATTGACACAAATTTATTAAGTCTAGGATTTTTTTGGTACTTTTTTCCTGAAGCCTCTCACTATCCTGTCGATGTCGATGGCGAGTGGCGCATTGCTAGGAAGGAGCGGGGAGTGAAAGAGAGTGACCCTACTTGGCCACTGATTGAGAGAGAGAAGAGGCGGAGCCGAAGGTGGAGAAGTTGACGGTGGCTGGACGGCAGCGTGGCGGTGTCGACTGTTTAGGCAACGGTGACGTGTGGCGAATCCAATGGAGGTACTGTGGTGGCTGCTCAAAGGATAGAGTGAGAGAGGGTAGGTTAGGAATTCATGGAAGGATGAGTGCAGCTTTTTGAATCAGAAAACCGAGGACCTATGCAAAAGTCGGTAGGTCCGGACCTGCGCGACTATACGCCTACTTTAAATTGAGTATGTACGTGACATGATTTGCTAGCTTTAAATCACATGTAAGAAGGTCCCCAGCCACGCCATACACATAATTATTAGCGTGTTTTTCTTTAGCGTGACAATTATTAGCGTTAATTTCTTTTTGTGGACGAGCCTATGGGGTATATATTTGCTGACTCAGTTAACGCTAATTATTAAAAAGGACGAGTGCTTGCAGACGGCATTTCGATGAATGACGATGAGGAATGGTTACCCCGCATCAAAGAGACATTAAACCTCGTCGCCATTTCAAGAACTCACCATGAGACGCTCCGATGACTTCAAGTGCTTGCTTTTGTGTGTGATAGTCCTTCCGTTTTGCTCGAGCAGGGACACACTAAGCATAGTAAGCAGGGTCACGGACCCCGGAGGTGCCCCTCTCGTGTCTGCCGGCAAGCGGTTTGAACTTGGCTTCTTCTCTCCGAACGGGAGCTCCAACTTGAGGAGGTACGTCGGAATATGGTATTACAGATCGGACCCTCGGATCATTGTCTGGGTCGCCAACCGTAATGTCCCGCTCGTCGGCCGCACGGCGTCATTCGGGCTCCTGGAAGGCGACCTGCAGTTATGGGACGATGGACAACCGATCTGGTCGACCAATGTCAGGGGTTCAAGCTCTTCAACCCGGTTTGCGAAGCTTCTTGATACAGGGAATCTGGTGCTGATGGAAGACGACGGAACCGAGAGCACTGTGTGGCAGAGCTTCGATAACCCAACCGACACTTTCCTTCCTGGGATGCGGATGACCGACGATTTCAAGTTGACTTCTTGGGCAAGCCAGGACGACCCGAAAGAGGGCAACTTCACGTTCCAGAGGGATCAAGCAGGCGACGCCAGCAAGTACAAAGTGATGAAGGACCAGCATCCTTACTGGAAAAGTGGTGTCTATGGCGAGTTCATACAAGCCGATGAGATGTTCGATTTCATCTCTTCCTTGCTCTCCATGACCGCTGCTTTGCCGCCAGCCCGGACTGGCAATAACTACAGCAACGGCTGGTTGGTCATGAACTATGACGGCCATATTCAGTACTTCACGCGGGGAGATGGGTCGAAGCTGGTCTGGTCCCAGCCGACGGGCCGGTGCAGTGTGTTCAATGCGTGCAACAAGTTCCAGAGCTGCAACGATAAGAATGGCAATGAGACCATGTGCAAGTGCTTGCCGGGATTCGAGCTGCGTCCTGGCGGGTGCCTCAGGAAGTCGCAGCTATGTGAGAAGAACATTAGTACTTTCTTGAGTCTGAAGTTGATGAAGGCTGGTAATCCGGATGATCAGAATCGGGCAGACAACGAGGAGCATTGCAAGCAAAAGTGCCTCGGTGACTGCAAATGCCAGGCTTACTCGTTTAAGGAGGAGGGCGGCACCACGACGTGCTATACTTGGTCGGACGAGCTTGACAATATGCAGGAGTTTGCTGAAGACGGCCTTGACCTCTATGTCCGAGTGCCGCTTTCAGACATAGGTTAATTTCCTTTTGGCCTGACCTTTTTTCCTTCCCAAGATCAATTGTGTTTGTGGCCTCCTGACTTGTGCTGTGACTTCTTTGTTTTAGCTATCTTTGGTGGCTTCTGGTTTGCCTCCTTTGATGAACTTACGAACTTTGCTCATATTTTGTGCACTTACATATTATCTTAATTGCAAGCGTCTTCCAGCCAAGTGTTCTACTCCACCTGCATATGGCAAGCAAATGATGCTATCCCAATTTCAGCCATGAATATTATGTATGTTTACAGTTCAATTGCAGGTGAATGTGCATAGCATTGATGCTGATTTTTGTTCAATGTTGACTTTTATAGAATCTACTAACAGGAGCTGTGGATATTGTGGCACTAATTTAGTCCCCTACCCTTTAAGCACGGGACAGAGTTGTGGCGATCCGCTATACTCTGCATTTCTCTGCGACAACAAAACTGCCCAGCTTTACTTTGAACGGCACAAAAGTTGCCACAGAGTCACTAACATCAATCCAGAAAATAGAACATTTACCATCCAAGTCGGGGATGCATTCAACTGCACAAGTAGCGGTTCAACGGAAATCAATCAGCAGCTTAACCAGTCCTCGCCATTTAGTGTGAATGACTTCAGCGCAGGAGACTCTTTGGGAAGTGTTGGGTTGAGTGAAGTGAAAATTGAGTGGAGCAGTCCGAAAGAGCCACTCTGCAATTCCTCCAAAGACTGTGATTGGCCACACGCAACTTGCGAGAATGCATCAGATGGAACAACAAGGTGCCTCTGCGATTCAGGATTCAGTTGGAATTCTTTCAGCGTCAATTGTTCTCTAGGTGAGAACATTGATCTTATGAATTGACCCACAACTTTAGCTACAGTATTCATGAATAACGGATTACAAGGAAATGTAGCCATTAGTTTTTAAAGGACATCATAATAGTAGATTCTGTCGCGCCCCCAAATCAATATTTTCTGTCTCCGTGGTCTATCATTTAGAGTACTGCTAGGATGATTTGCACCTCCTGGAAGCTGAGTGACAAATTTCATACAGTGAACGTCTATATTTTCAGCGTTAATCTGGAATTTATAATAGGTCAGCCAGAAGAGCTTGAAACTAGAACAGATACAGCTATAATTTGTCTCCTGCCCGAGATTCCCGAGATATGTTGACCCTGTCAAGGAGTCAATTGCATCTGCCTTTACCGTTACCATCCCAAGTATGGTGCATGCAAGCAATGTAATGACAGAGTCCTGGACTTGCACCAACTAAGCTTGCTCGTTTTCGTCGACTATAAGAGGGAATCTGACCATGCAGTATGAAGCCCTCACATCTGTCCTTTTATTAAATTAGCGAGTCGCTGTGTCTACAATTATTCGTTCGCTTCTGTCCGAAATATAGTAGTTACATTTTCTTTTCTTGTCTAGCAGCAGGTAAAAATGCTGTCGGATCGTCGCAGAAAAGACAGAAAGTGAAGCTTGTATATATAGTTGCTCCTGCCGGTGCCGCAATTTTCATCCTTGTATTCGGTGGCTTATTTTACATGAGAAGGCAGCATGGTAGTACTCAAGGTAATCACAAATCAAATACATGCTACTTTTTATCTGTCATTATTAGGTATACGATAAAAAGATACCAAACAAGTAGTAACTAGAGCTGGCACTTCAGGGAGCAGGGAAAGCACTCAGGAAAATCCTGACTTTCGTCTATACGACAGCGAGAAACGGATCAAAATGTGGATGGATTCACGCCAGTTCGAGGAGGATGATAAGAAAGGCATAGACGTGCCATTTTTTGATTTAGGAGTTATTCTACAAGCGACGAATAATTTCTCAGATGAGAACAAACTTGGAAGAGGTGGGTTCGGGCCTGTTTACAAGGTAAATAAAATGGTTTCTTCTTCGACCTTCTGGGGATCTTGACCAGATCACAGTGATGAAGTAATCCTTTGTTTCAGGCTACTTTTCCAGGAGGACAGGAAATTGCAGTGAAGAGGCTATTGAGTGGATCAGGACAGGGCTTGGAGGAATTTAAGAACGAAGTCGTCTTGATTGCCAAACTTCAGCATCGAAATCTCGTCAGATTAGTAGGATATTGCGTCAAAGGAGATGAAAGAATGTTACTATATGAATACATGCCCAACAAAAGCTTAGATTCATTCATATTTGGTAAGCACCTTATTTCGTGTCCCTATTCCCTTGTATGCTTCAGGGCATAGCTGTTAGTAGTAGCACTCAACAGTCTCTTTTTCTTCATAAAAATTTCAAGTTAGTCTGACGGAGTTAGATTAAAAGACTTTGCTACCTTCAAATAAAAATAAAAACCTTGCTAGATAGAACAAGGTGTTCCATGCTGACTTGGGAGATACGCTTTGAGATTATCTTGGGAATTGCACGAGGAATGCTCTATCTTCACCAAGATTCTAGGCTGCGAATCATTCATAGAGATCTCAAGACGAGCAATGTTTTGCTCGATGAGGAGATGACTCCTAAAATTTCCGACTTTGGTCTGGCACGGATATTTGAGGCAAAACAAACTGAAGCAAGCACGCAAAGGGTGATCGGAACATAGTAAGTTTTTGTAGATGCGCATACCCTTTATTTTCGTTTGGATAGAGAATGTGTTGGACACTACACAAGGCACTTGCACATTATTACCTTTTAATATCTGCAGTGAAACTTCAGTATTCTGACTGTGCCTTAATTGACTTATTATGCTCCAATGCAGTGGATACATGTCTCCAGAATATGCTTTGGACGGATTTTTCTCATTCAAGTCTGATGTTTTTAGCTTTGGTGTCGTCATACTGGAGATTGTTAGCGGGAAACGTAATGCAGGCTTTTATCAGTCTGAAGGAACAATGAGCCTTCTGACTCAGGTGAATATAGTCCATTTGCTGTCCCTTTCTTCTGTATATCCACTTCCTGTCGCCCTTTTCTCTGAACGCACTGAAACTTCAATTGTGCAGGCATGGAAATTATGGAATGACGATAAAACATTGGACTTAATGGATCAAGTGCTGCATGGAACTTACAACAGAGATCAAGTTTTGAAGTGCATAAACATCGCGCTTTTATGCGTGCAAGAAGACCCGACTGATCGTCCCACGATGTCAAATGCAGTTTTCATGCTCGGTAGTGAAACCGCGACTCTTCCAATTCCGAAAAAACCGGCTTTTGCAATTAGGATAGGCGTTTCTATGGAAGCTTCTTCTTCCAGCAAACCAGAGTCAAGCGCGGTGTTATCGACTACTCTGGAACAAGGACGGTAACATTGGATCTTCCTCGACTCTATTCCACATCTTAGTTGTCAAAAGCTTTAGCCATCGGACATTTGTTCAACTAGGAATGTCTCAATTTTTACCCCATGATATTCCTTTCTCCTCCGGCAAAATGCAGTTTACTCTATGTTGATTGCTGATGCTCCTCCTCGGCCTAAGACTATACAATACTAACATAGCGAATCGGCTTCTTGATCACCGGAGAAGATTCTTTTTGTCATTGGTTGTACTGTTCATGCTTAAGAATAAGTTTCTTGTGCTGCAAATGAGTTGTAAAATCAATTACCTTACGGGGTTGTAGTCATCCTATCAAACTCGCAATCCACCCCACAAAAATCTCACTTTTTGAATTGACTGAAACATCCCTCTTAGTTGTCACTGAGATGTTACTGTTACGTGTTAAAGATCTGTATATTTCATAGTGATGTATGGTCAGTTGCCTTAAACATCCGCTGCGTAGGACAGGTTGGTCAATATTCACCTTCTCAAGGGAAAGAAAGCCTACTGTACAAACAATAGAGAATTGCCTAATACCTTTGCGCTCGGTAACTCATGCGAGTTGCTGGTCGGACCTATGGGTCTACATCCACTCACTCCATGGGTTTCCTGTTTGGGTGGTGGGTTCTGATCTTGATATGAGAAACTTGGCCTTTTTCTTACTTCAAAAGAAACTTAATCAAGACAAAAACAAAAGGCTGGAAGTTCTTTTCCTCGTATGCACGATATAACTCCATGGCGCCTGTGGTTCCAAGTGCTGGACCAAACCGGTACTACCATCCTGATCTGATCGATCCCACGTATAACAGGGTCTTTTTTTTTTTATTCATGTTAAAAAGTTCTACTTTTCTTTAGAAGAAAATTGACTAACTGAGTATATTTATGAAGATCGACGAATGCAGACATCTTCCGCATATTCATTGAGATTTTTATAACACTCCAGAAACTTCTGAATAGTCGAAATCCCGAGTCCTCTTCATCTTACGCGTTTATGCTGAAATGTTAAGATCCTTTTACACACAACATTCCCAAAAAAGAAAAATTGACGGTTTTGAGTGGTAAAGGTCTACCTTCACATCAAGCCAAAAGGTCAACCTTCACAAGAGAGAAACAAATTATCAGCGCCCATTACTATTGGTAACAAAAATAAATAGGAATGCTCATAATTCCTACGTGGTAGTCTAATACAATCATCAATATATATTTTTTAATCCGTATTAGAAAACATGAGTCCACATAAAAAGGCTTGAATGGAAACAAGACTATCTAACCTGGCCGAAGGCCAAATCCAATGAGAATCCCTGGTGATGATAGCAACTTTATCCTTAGAACCAAGAGAGGAATCATAAATCACCCTTCTTGGGAAATTCTTACATGGAGAATTTCCAAAGGACGCTAGTGATCCCGGCATAAGAAAGCTCTGTGACCATTACCAATCAAATCCCTAAACTCCACCATTTCTTTTGTAACCCACGCTCTACAATCTTTCAAAAGATGAATTTGTGATTTATTATTTATATATTCTAAAAAGTGGACTTTGGCACGAGCCTAAAGAGTGGAAATATTTAATTGGTGAGGCAAAAGGAGCTTGAAAATATTTGAACGTAGGACTTCCTCCTCTGATTTCATGTGAAATTTTGATAGGACCACTGCCAACTATTTGAAAAGCTTAAGTTGTCATATGAAGGTGAGGTTTATTATTTATATATTTTAATACATTATTCCATTCATCAAGTCTTCGAATGCCCAAACCTCTGTTGGGGGAGAAACAACAGCAATTCACTAAGAACTTAAACCTGCCCAAGATCAATATCTTCCCCAAAACTTAGCCAATTAATATCAGATCAACTTCAACAGCAATCAGTCACAATATTCTAACAATATTAACCACAAAACCAGTAACAATAGTGCTGGAAATTAGAAACAAGGACAGCAACAACAACCACAAATTTTATGTGCAAAACCCAATACAAGAAAAACCATGGGCCGCTCAAAACTTCCACTAATCACCAAAAATTAGCAAGATACACGATAGTTTATCTCTAGTCACATAGCGAGAGGCTCAACACATCAACAATACAGTAATATATTACTAAGAAGGAGCCCAAATTCGAGCTCGTCAACAAATCAGTTGGACTCACATTCACTCAAAAGTTTAAGCCAATGAGTTATTAGTCAATTGTGATAAATATTAACTACTATACACTACATCAATTCTCCGATGTGGGTTTTTTTTGGGATAATGACACAAAAAGTCCCTGAACTTTGGCTTAATATACAATGTGGTCCATGAACTTTTAGTTTGTTCAATATAATCCCTGAACTTTTGCTTTGTTCAATATGGTCCTTGGACTTTTAAGACATATTCAATGTATTCCCTGAACAATATGAAAATGTTCAATGTAGTCATTCCATTAATTCAAGTTCAGGGACTATATTGAACATTTTCATATAGTTCAGGGACCAAATTGAACATGTGCCAAAAGTTCATGAATGACATTGAACAAATTAAAAGTTCAGGGATCACATTGCACATTGAGTTAAAGTTCAAGGACCACATTGCATATTAGACTCAAGTTCAGGGACTGTTTGTGTCATTTTCCCTTCTTTTTTTTTTCTAACATAATTCACATGTACATCTCAACAATCTCTCCCTCACGTGTGAGCTTAGTGTTATTTCTACTCCCATTTAATTCAGGTATCCAAAATGAATCTTCAACGCTCACCTTTATTCTTAGTTTCTTTATCTAGACTGAACCATGAAGGCTGCCATCGGGACTGCGTTCCTACATTGCACCCACCTTCACTTTAGGTCTCTTTCACTAGACCAAACCATGAAGATAGTCCAAAAACATCACCATTGATGCACATTGGAGTGGGCAACCAATTAACTATCGGCTCTAATACCATTTGTTGGGAGTATGTAGCAAAAATTTGATAAATTCATCTTGGGAGATTGCCAAGAGGGAGTCCAATCTTTACTCAAAAATTTAAGCCAATGAGTTATGGGCCAATTGAGTATATTAGCTACTTCAAACCACATCAATTCTCCAATGTGGAACTTTTGTCTTAACATAGCTCATCCATGCATCTGAACAACCGTTTTTATTTTTTGGTAAGTAGATCGTGGACCAACTCACCTTAGTTCCATAAGCCATCCCATCTTTCTCTTTCTAATGAAATCAACATCATTTTTGTTCCACCATTCGAATAACCTTTTTCGGAAGAATAAACATGTTGTACCAATAGTTCACCAAGCTAAAAGGAACAGACTTGATCAATTGAACTCTATTAGCAATGATTTTATTAGTTATCGTCTCAATATTGGGCTTGCGATGTCTGTCAGGTAATCTCTCTCAAATCAAAGGCAACCTTCTAATACCACTTGACTGAATCTATTCATCCACATAAGAGTCATCATAACCAGCAGCAAACAATTCAAACTTTGAAGGATTAAGTTTAAGTCCAGACATAGGCTGGAACTTCTGAAAGAAAGGAAGATTCCGTAAGAGAGTTCTAATCCCCTTTAAAAAAAATATCAAATCACCAGCAAAGGGTAAGATAGCGAGGTCTTAAGTTTCTGTTGAATATATTTCTCTGTCTAGTCTCTCCAAACAATATGTAGTCCATGTTATGCTAGCAAGATAAGCAAAAAGAAGAATGGAACGGGATCAACATTGGAATAAGGCAAATGACAACTAGCCAAATTTTTTTTTGACAAAGCCTCTACGAAGAAAAAGGGAAAATTACAAAAAAAGTCATAAACCTATTACAATTGTACCAATTAAATCTTAAATATTCTTTTTTTTTTGGGCCAATTGAGTCTTAAACCTTTTATATTTGTGACAATTTAGTCCATCCGGCCAATTTTGATCGGAAATCGCTGACATAGACGGAAACCGTCTTATGTGGCATGACCGGCACTGACATGGAAATTTTTTAATAATTTTTCAATTTTTTTCCTTTTCTTTCTCTTTCCTTTTTTTTTCTTCCCTTCTTCCTTTGGCTGGTGAGGGCGAGCCTCGCCTAGTGAAGGCGAGGTCGAGCCTTGCCCAACCATGGCAAGGCTCACCCTCGTCGGCCCTTGCCTTTGGCCGGCCGTCGAGGTCCAGCGACCAACTAGAGGAAGAAGGAAAGAGAAAAAAGAAAGAGAAAAAAAGAATAATAAATAATAAATAATTCAAAAAATATGAAAAATATTATTAAAAATTATCCATATCAGCGCTGGCTGTGCCACATAAGATGGCTGGCATCCATGTTAGCGATTTCCGGTCAAAATTGGCCGGATTGAATTGCACAAATACAAAAGGTTTAGGACTGAATTGGCAAATAAAAATTTAGGACTGAATTGGCATGATTGCAATAGGTTTATGACTTTTTTGGTAATTCTCCCCGAGGAAAAGCATAGTCGACATTTTTCTTCCCTCAACATTTCTGCCCAAAGACTTTTTAAGCAATTTTATACATAGAGTCTTATTATCTTTTTGAGTTTTGACAGGTCAAGGCTACACGGTATCCATGTATTCACCAAAGACAGATACACATTAAGAGTGGGTAATCAATCAACCATCGGCTCTAATATCATTTGTTGGGAGCACGTAGTAAAAGCCTGATACCTTCAAATGGAAAAATCGTCAAGAGAAAGCTCAAATTCAAGCAGTCAATATATGTAGTTGAATTCACATTCACTCAAAAAAGTTTAAGTCAATGAGTTATAGGTCAGCTAGATATATTAATCATTCGACACCACATAAATTATTGAATGTGGGGCTTTTTTGAATACAACTCATACATACATCCCAACACATCCACCGGTTGATTTAAGGAGACAATCTTCACCAATGACGACCGATGACCCCCTCACTAGCATGCAATGATTGAACGTACTAATATTTCCAGAGGTATACGTATACGTTTAAAGAGAAAGATCACTCCCTTTTTTTCCCTTGAAAAGCCTAACATGTACAAATGTAAAAATTGTGGTTCAAATGCAATAATTTCCAGGTAAATTGGACAAAAGCATTGCGATCCTCTGAACTAATTAAGTTTACTTTTCTTTTCCTATCGCAATTAATTAACTCATCTCACATGCTCGATAAAACCTATGGTTATATGTTGATCCGGAATGGATATATTGAGTTAGTTTTCCTCTGTCTCTAAATCAAGAGGATCTGAACTTTAACTGGCTCAATGAACTTAGTTAATTACGGTAATAAATTGAGTTTTTCCTTTTAATATTTGTTCACCGGCAGTTGGAGGACTTCACCTT